TCCCACATAAAACAATTATTTCTGTTAGTGTAAGAAGGTTAATTTAACTTGAGTGTTTAAATTGTCTGGTGGTAATAAATTGTTGTTTAAACTTTCTTTAAAGAAATCAATTTAACTGTATTATATCATGATATGTAAGAATGAATGTGGCATTTCTTAGTAAGCTCATTATGAAATGATGATCAACACTTCCAGGAGGTATTCACAAAGGATTATTTTTTAATTATAGAGATTACTTAAATGTATGTGATTTCTACTTTTCTTTTTTTTTTAATTGAAATCATAGCATACTAAATATTAGAGGCCGTGGTATTTAGAAAACCTGTATTCATGATTGCTTTATACTTAAATATTTATAGTTGTGGTTTTAACTTTTATTCTAAAGCTTCTTTAACACCACTAGCATATAATTATCATAATAACAAAACACTTAAAGAAAAGTCTGTCTTAGATTTTGTTGCCCTAGATAGTTAATCTGTTATTTTCATATTTTATTCTTAATGCTTTCATCATGAGCGAATAAAATATATCCCAAATTCATTATTACAACAAACATTTGAGTATCTGTAGTTTGTGATATAATCGAAGGTAAAAAATAAAATATGATATCATTCCTTAAGTAAGTGCAACCCTTTGGAAACAAAAGACACGTAAAAAGATAAATGTGAATGTAGTACTGGTAGAGATAGAGCTAATTACCAGTTATGATGGGTAGGAAGGGCATTCCACCAGAGGACTTACTGGGATTTTCACTCTTGTTATATATAAAGTATGAATAGGAGTAATCCAAGGCAGTATGGCCAACACATATAGAAATAGTTATTTCCAGGCACAGGTTCAAGAGGAAGTGAGATATGTGTAGAAGAACTATAAACTGTGTGTTGTTTGGATGGGAACTTGTAGCAGAACATGAGGTAGAGCCAGCAAGGTTGTGGATGGGGCCTTGTTCAGGATCTCAGGTGCTCTGTGGCCAACTCATTGGCATGTTTTAGACAGGGAAGTGACATCTTAATTTACTGTTTCTCTGGACAGCCCAGCTTACAGTATGGAGAAGGCACTGGGGAAAAAGCATAGGTGATTAGAGAAGAAATAGATGTTCCCACTGACTTGAGCAGTGTCCAAGTGAGGGAAGAACAAAGTTTTGTTTGCGAAGTCAAATGAGTGGGGTATTGTTTTTTGAATCTGAGGGTTATAAAAGAGAGAACCATTGCAACTAGCAAGTTACTGATACAGGAAATAATGTGTGGTTCTTCTGCCCACTGAGATGTGGAAATTATGCAGTCTGGTTGAGGGCAAGAGACATATGTCTGTGATGATTGAGGTGTCCCATGTGGCTGAATATTATCTGAGTAAAATGGAAAAGTTAGAATTGCCTAAATTATTTCAGTCAACTCTGTTTGGTGACAGTTGTTTTGTTATTTTTCTACTTTTCCTCTAAACAATGAACAGGGCTAAGGTTAATTTCTTGAACAAAAGTAATGTGACCAAGATGAACAAAAAAATTCACACACAGGTCACAGACAAGTGCACTTGTAAATTAATACTTCTTTGAGAATGCAATTTAAAACTCCTTGATCTATTAAAACCCCTAGTAAAAAAATAATAGTCACTTGCCCTCAAGAACTTGACACATGAAGTGTGGCTAAAATTATATTTGAAGATACATGAAGGAATTGTTTATGGAAATAATAATTGCTGAAAAAGAAAACACCAAGGGGAATCTTAAAATACTCTTTAGTTTTACCCTTCAGATGGCTTTGAACATTATATTTTATTAGCCTACAATTCACATATTCCTTTCTTTCCTCCAAATGTGCTTGGGGGCGTATTTAAAAACCAACAATGAGAGGTTGGTCAATTACATTTAAATCCACTTAAGTATAATGTAATCAGAGACTGCTCATGAAGTATAAGAAATGCCTTAGTGGGATTTCTATCTGTAGAGTAGCCACAAGAACCATTCTAGTGATAACTTTCTTGCTCTTGATGATGTTGACCTTAAATGTTTGAATATGTCCCAAACATTCCTAACATTTTGCTCTTGAAAACAGAAACTTCTTAGACTGATTTCCACAATGTACCATCCCTGTTTTGGTGGTGGCAATGGTGGTGGTGACAACTTCATTTTCCCTATGATTCAAGTATAACTTATTTTTATATTTTAGCTTTATCACTTCTTAGTCCTAAGAATAAGAAAAACAAAATATATTTTTCTCAACATTTTTTCATCCTATATTAATAGGATTTTATGTCTTATGATCTATGAGGTAAATGTATGAAGTAGGATTCTTTTGATTTCATAGATGTAGAAATTGAGCCCAGGAGAAGCTGCTGCAGATCACAAAGAAAGTAGCACCTGACCCACTGATGCCTAAAGAGTTGGGAAAGATGCAGGCCTTTCATCCAATGGGAAGTGGTCTCCAGAGGTACTAACATAAGATGAGAGAGTTAGAACCATCAGCCTATCCTCTGACTTCCAAGGAGGGAAAGAGCTGGAGATTGAGTTAAATTGTGAATCAGAATGATTTAATTACTAATATCTAGTAATGAAACTTCCATAAAGTCTCTGAAACAACAAGTTTAAGGGAGCTTTTATATTGCTGAGCACAAGAATGTGCTGGGAGGGTGGTGTGCCTGGAGACAGCATAGAAGCTCTGTGCCATCCCTTCCACCCCACTCTTTGTACTATGCATCTCTTCCCTTTGGCTATTTCCAAGTTGTAGCCTTTATATTAAATCTTTAACCACAAGTGTAGCACTTTCCTGAGTGCTGTGAGTCACATGTAGTGAATTATGGAACTTAAGGGTAGAGGGATGTGAGAATCCTCAAATTTATAACCAGTCATTCAGAAATATTGATGGTATCCTGGGCTTGTATCTGGCATTAGAAATGAGGGCAGTTTGGTGGGACTGATCCTTTATACCTATAGTTTGTGACTCCAACTCTGAGTAATTCATGTCCAAATTAAATTGAATTGTAGGAAACCCAAGTGGTGTTGGAGAATTATTTGGTGTGAAGCAGTGTATTTGGGGTCACACACATGAAAACAGTCTGTGTTCCTGACTGACACTTGCCTTGTGTTTTTTGTCATGAGAATCCCTTAGACTGGTGTTTGACTATACCCTAGATGTTCCTAATTTGATAGCAGACTAAGGCAATATTAATATGTGGTTTTGTTCAGTGATGGGATACTACTTTAAATGTGCATTTTCTTTTGAAAATGTAGCATTTCTGTATCTAACTGTCCATGCATTCATCCATCCAGAATGCTCAGAGCATCTTTCCACTAGGTTTAGTCATCTGTGGATTACTTGTGGTTGCACTAGGCTAGAGTGTAGGGCAAACCAGTTTAGTGAAACCACTTTATTTTTCTCATTTAAATGGTGATACTGATAGGGAGTTATAGCTGTGAAAATAGTGATAATTTCTGTAATTTACTTATAGATAGCAGACTGGTTAAAAATAAGGAGTAGAATGAAACTACCCAACTACAATTCTAGCTTTGCCACTTGTTAGCTGGTTGACCTTTTTACTGCCCAGTTTCAGTTTCTTCACCGTAAACTGGGGGCAACAGCAGTACCTACTTCATAGTGTTCTTGTGAGGATTAAATGAGTTAATTAATGGAAAACTTAAGACAATACTTGACATACATAAACACTAAGTAAAGTTTAGCTGCTGTTATTTTAATTATCACTTCTATAGCAATAATTACTACTACTATTTTTTTTTTTTTTGGTACCGGGGATCGAACTCGGGTCCTTAGCTTTCGAGGCAGGCAGTGGAACCACTGAGCTAAATCCCTGGCCCCTTACTACTACTATTTTACTACTTGTATACTACTAACTCTTCAACCTAATCCATAGCCCAAAGTAGATGTATGGCTTATAAATGTTTCTGAGCACATTTTTACCTACTACAAAATTTTTATATGCTTTTGAATCACTATTTAATCAAAAGTTTCAGAGTTTTTAGGAAATATAAAACCAACTCACCCACCTGTAAGATTTCTTGAGAAATGATAAAGGAAATCCTAATGAGACATTGGAGCAGAGATCAAATAGACTAGAAGACCAAAAAGGATCTTGTCTGTAATGCAGAAAGAGAGAGAACTTTGAAATAAGCAAAATAATCATCTGGAAATGAGAAGAATAAATGAAATCCATAGGTCTAATCAAATAGAAGTCTTAGTTGTGGATAACTGACCAGCAGACATAAAAATGGAAGAGTGTAACAGAGGAAATTAATGTTGCCACTCTGAGCAGTGTACAGCAGGATATAATTAATACAGCAAGTGCTAACCTAATGGAAAGTCTTCATACAATCCATTATTTAAGTTATTATGTCTGTGTCTTTGTTAAATTGGTGCTTGGTGTTAACTCAGGGCTTCATGCATCTAAACATGTGCTCTACTACTCAACTACACTCCTAACCCTCGTCTCAATTTTAAAAAGCACAGAAAAGGTATACTTGAGAAGTAATAATACTAATAGACAATATAGATAACTTCGGGCTGGCTTCCTTTTAGAAGCCAAAAAGTTGAAGTGTCATCACTTTTCAGGTACAAATAACTATTATCTATGTATCTCTGAAGAGTTCAATCATTGGATTCATTAAACATTGTATCTGAGAATGCATTCAGTAATTTATTAAATAACTGGATATGTTCAGGATTTTTTTTGGCACTCTAAATAGACTGATTATCTCATGGCATTTGTAGTGGTCAAGAACTCTAATTTTAAATAAAAGTTATTTCTTTAATGTGGTTTGTTTATATGGGCATTTCTTAAATTCTGTCATATTCTAAAGCATTTATTATTGAATTTCCTTTATAACTGGATTTCAAAGCAAAAGGTTAAAAGCAAACAGTAAAATTCAACTTTTTTAATAACAAATTTTCTTATATTATGAGGTTTTTCACAAATGCTTTGTTTCTAGATTGTTTTACCTTTTATATATTATAATTTTGTCCTTTCAAGGCATTTAATATACTCTCTTTTAGTCTCTGTAGAAACGCTGGAAAAGAATTTGAAACAGATGGGAAGGCAGCTTCAACAGCTTGAGAAAGATTTGGAAACCTTTCCCCCTCCTGAGGACTTGCATGACAAGTTTGTGACAAAGATGTCCATATCCTTCTGATATCTGAATAGCTTAAGTCACTAGTCAACTGGATTTACAATTTATTTATTATTTTAAGTGTATTTGCATAACCAGAGATCATTCTGTAGTGGCACAGTGTAGAAATTTTAACCTTTGCCTTCTAGCTGGGAAATTAAAGTGTTATTTATTTCTATTGATTTCTCTGCACTTGGATAATAGTATGTTCTCCCATCTTTCGCCTTCCATATACTTATTTTCTTCTGATGTTCATGACAAAGGATATTAAAACTCAGTTTGAGGAAATTTGAGCATAAACTTATGATGGGAATTAGATACTTTTGGCATATTTCGTGAAACCGATACAGATTTCATAAATTCACAATGTGACTAGCCAGCTTTAAGGATTGGTGTATATTAGAAATTAACTCATGCTCCACAAAATTTAGTATTTCCTGCAGAAATATTTCATAGTTTTAAAATCAAAATTGAGACTAATGTAATCAGTACTCCTGTTTGTATTCTCTGAACCCCAAATAAAATTGACAAATACATATATAAATTAATAGCTCGGGGCTTGTGTTCTGATTTAAAAGTTTATTTATTTAAAGATTTCTTTGTTATCCAGTTATCTTTATCATTAACTTTGCAGCTTAATCTCTAACGAGTTACTGAAGTAATAAACTTTTTTATTTCCTGAAATTAATGTTGAGCCACTTTGCAAACCATTGTATGACAGAAGAGACTGGTAACTTTTGTTTTGCAATGAAGTATTATTATAATGCATTATTAAAATCCCATATGGGTATCTGAATTCTATATGAAAGCATAATTCATTTCTAAAACAAGCTTTTATAGTTTGATCCCCAGTGCCCCCCCAAAAAACTCCAAATAAAATAAGCTTTTATAAATAGCGACTCCTAATTTTCTAAACTGAAGTATTTGAAATAAAATGACTACTTTTCCTCTTTCTATATCTTCTCCCTTGAAATTTAATATATGTACTGCTGAAGCGAGCATACTCCCTTGAAATTTAGTGAATCACAAAATTATTATTTGGTTTGCCATAGATATGCTTTTATCTTAATTATGAATTAGTTCAGTTTTAGCTTCCTTCACTGTCTCTGTCAGGAAATATCGTAAAAATGCACTCTACCAACAATCAATTCAGGCTAATGTGTTTGTTTTCTTTTATGTCTTTTCTACACACCCAATTCCTTATTAGGGAGAATGCCTTTTATCACTACACTGAGTTAAGGTTTCTTTTCTTTTTTCCCTCTTAAACTAAAAAAGTCTACATTTATCCATCAAAACTATATTTTGCCCTACTTTCTCATTTAACAAAGTATGCTTTTTAAAAAAATAATTATATCATTGCAGGGTTATATCAGTTTCATTATTCTTAGCCTCTTCCCTCACTTTATCATGTTAAAATGTCCATTTGTGATAGTTTATCATTAAGTATCATTAATGTAAGTACTTGTTATTGTTTACTATAGTTAGAAGGCATTTTAGGAAAGCCTTTTGCCTACATATAGCTTTTGATATTACACTCTGAGTGCACTAATTATGAAGCTCAGGCTTGTCTAACATGAATTCTGAGGCTGGAGCAGGGGTTGCAGAATCCGGCTCAGCAGACAATCTCAGAACATATCTGTACTTGTATTCATAGGACAGGAGAAGCTGAATGTCGGCTTCTTGAAAGGTATGCAGCTCATAAAAAGCAGCCAGCAGGAAATCAGCAACAGGAAGGATGATGCTTTGTTGGAAACAATTTTTCATTCTGAGTACAATTACACTCCATGGACAAGAAAGCTACTATATCCTGTCGCTAAATATCACAACCTAGAAGCCTCTAATGAACTGATTAGCATTCATGTATCTCTTGGAAGTCAGATATATGAACAGTTGGTGCACTTTGCTATTGACAAAGCTTATAATCATAAATATTCTTTGCTGAGATTACATTGCACTCGTTTGCTTTTCATCTTAGTTAGACATACTAGTTTCGAAGTAATTAAATTCATTCATTGCAAGACTTTGTTTACTTTAATTAGGACTGACAAGTCAGATTTTGAATATTAAATGCATTTTTGCAGATCTTATTAAAATGGCAAATTGTGAGCCTCTGAGATCTTAGAAAATGGAAGCTAAAATGCAGTGAATAAAAGTATATTAACTAAAGATTGTTATTAATACTCAAATGTTGCTTGTATTTTATATTTAACTGCTTATTGGTTGAAGCACATATCAAATGCTTAGTTCATGAGCCACTTCTGAAAGAATATCTGTATTATTTAGTTAAAGATACATCTTTGCAAGTACATATTTACATTAAACCACCAAGATTTAGTGAACTATCAAATAATCTGTTAATTGAATTGTTTTAAATTATGAAGATACAATTTTGTTATAATGAAATTTCACTAATAGCATTCAATTATAGTATATTATGTTTTTATTCTTCCATTGCATGCTCACTCTTTACATCTACTTCTTAATGTAAAAATATGAATTTAGTACAACATTTAAAAGGCACACACAGCTATTTCATATATCATTGACTTTTTCATAATAATTATTATTTTCCAGTTGCTAAGCCTGGTTAGAACTGTAATTAGCGTTGAATATTTTCACAGTAAATACTTACTTGAAAGATGTGTAGCACACATTCGAAGTTGGACAACAAGTATTGTCTTATGTAAACAATTATATGTGAGGCAATATACTTATTAAATTCTTATCAGTATGAAACTTAAGAAAAAGGCAGCAGTTATGTCATGCATTGCCTGTTCCTTTCTTTTGACCTTTAAATTCTGTAGTTTTTCTTACTTTAAGGAAGATAAAAACTTGATCTTGGAACGTGTCCTTGAAATTCTCCTTGCACAAGCACTTGCCTTTCTATTCTTTGCCCTTGAATCTTTCAGGAAAAAGAATCATTTTGCTAGACATTATGTATTTTCATATTTTTCACAACTTATATGACTCTTTCCCATGTTATATTTTGTAAATTTCTTCATTGAAATCCCACTTTATTTTCACACTTTCTTTTTGTTACTCCACTCTAAGCAGTATTCTGGGCACTTATGAGGTTACTGTTTAGATACTAAAATTATCCCAGTAAATTCATTGAAAAACTTATATCTGTATTCTGTGCTATGCAAACTGTAGCATTTTGCAGGTAAAGATTTTAAAATATTTTTCTTTAATGGAACTGTGGCTTCGAAGTAAAATAGAAAATTGGAATAGGTGAGATATAAACCTGTCTAATACATGGTTCATTTGGAAGAGTGAGAAATTGGGTAACTGAATGTTTTATTGTAGTAGATTTTTCTTCTCTGGAGCTAATCTTAGTGTTTCTTGTCCCTTTCTTTTTTTGTTCTTTTCTTGCTTCTCTTCTCCTAAACCCATTCTTAACAGAATTTTAAGATTTGAATTAAATACCCTCCTCATCCTTTCTGAAGCCTCAAGTATACAATAATCTTTCACTTTCTGAAGTTTTATTCTAACAAGAAAATGCTATACAACTGAGTGCTCTCTACTCTTTTATCATCATGCCTCACTTGTATTAGTCTTACCTTTTTAGTGGTTTCCCTGACTACCCAATCCATGATAGCTTTTATCACTCTATATAATATCAGTAACTCAAAGTCACATTTATTTACTTATTTACTAGAATGGGAATGTCTTCCAATTCTAGAATATGGGTTTCATAGTCCCAGGGACTTTATCTTTTTAACTAGTTTTTTCTAGTGCCTAGAAGTATATTTGAAATACAGTGAATGCTTACTGAATGGATGGCTGGATCTGAACCATTAAGAAGGTGTATCAAAGTTATAAAACATACGAGACTGATTCAAGCTGGTCTTCATAAGGTATATTAATGGAAATAATGAACATCTTTGATAGCAGAAGTACAATAATGAAGATATGAGTTAAGAATACAGTATATGTGGAACCTGTTTGTGGGAGGTAGTTTTGGCATTAGTGCTATTCTATTGGCAAACCAGGAGAAGAGTATCAAATCTAAATCATGCTCCTCAGCTGGTAAACACTAACTACTTGTGCTTCAATGCATGTGAACACAGATCTGGTTGTCATACATCTATCTTCCCAATGGGAAGAGTACAGTGAAGTGGATGTCACTGAGAATTTCTCCTTACTTTTTTCTTTTGTGTGTGTGTGGTACTGGGGATCGAACTCAGGACCTTGTGCTTGCGAGGCAGGCGGTGGAACCACTGAGCTAAACCCCTGGCCCTCTCCTTACTTTTGATAAAGCTAAAGAAAAAGAAAATAAATTCCTCAAAATTGTATGGAATTGGAATATATATCAATATTTTTGCAGTGAGTTTTATCAAATACTTTGTTGAGTATCTTATATTTTTTCTGAAGCTCTTTACAAAAATAGAACTTAATGCTGTGAAAACAATAATTAAAGAGTAGATCCTACTGACTTTAGCACTTGGCACAAGGACAGCTATGCTTGTTTTCCATTTTGGTGATGATGATTCTTTGTCTGGATATTTCATCATCCTTTGGTGAAAGATTAGCCCGTTAATACCAGTGTAGTGTGCCTCCTTCATGTAACCAGTAATTCCATCCTATCAGGAAGCCATTTTAGACTTCCAAGGATTAATTTGGCTATTTCCAAAATTGTTTTGGTTTAATCACAATTTTACCATTCTTCTGGGTAATTCCACTTATTCAAAGCTCCACTTCATTTCCTTTGGAAGCAAATTGTTTTATTCATAATAATGATAACAAAATTAATTTAAAAGCTCACCAGAAGTTAGAACAAAGTCATGTCATTTCCATGGTTCTGGCTCTTGGTCATCTTTTCCTTCACATCTTTTAATAGAATTGTACTGTTTTTATAAGAAAGCACAGACCTATTTCTAGTGTTTCATTACTTACAATTCTTACCTGAAAAAATTTTCAAGTCATTGCTTTATTTTAATCTGTTTACCAATTGGCTTTTTGAGAATGTGTGTGTTCCCAGGTGTGAGGATAAAATTATATTTGTGAAGTGCCTATTATTAAATCCCCAAAGCCTTAAAAGCATTGATGGGGCAGAGTAGTGATACTTACCAAATAGTGATTGTAACCTGTTGTCCAGGATAAACACTTTTCAGTGACTCTGTTAACTATTTACATGATATTAGATGTATTTGGTTCCATATAGATACATATTTGCAATTTTGTGACTAAAAGTTCCATGGCTTTTCATCAGACCATTTTTGAGGATATTTGTTACCTGTCCCACCAGAGTTTAAGAGCAATAGTACTAGGGTGAAATAAGTAATTGGCACTAATGTCATTGCAGATGACTAGATTTGATACAATTCATGGGACAGAGAATGAACAGACAGCAAGAGGTGGCATTTGCCAGAAATTACAGCAAGAGCAAAGCCCCACGAAAGAGTTAGAATAGAAGGGCCAACTCATAACTTCATTAGAGGTCCAGGAGTCAGAATGTGCCTGAAGATTTTCCAGATAAGTACATGGGTCTGCAGATGGTGTGATTCCAAAGGAATTGATAGTCCCAGTGTCGAGGTGAGAGGAAGACATCGTGGAAGAGGAAGAATTGAAGAAGCTCTTGATAGACTGATTTAGACCACTAATGGCAAAAATATATTACTTTTTTTAGGTAGGTGTGAAGAATATACAATAAAGCATGTAGATATATGTTCTATTGGGACATAAATAATTTTAGGTGAGGGCTTATTGATTAGGTAAACCAATTTATAAATCTTTGGTGATTTGGGGAATGATTACTTCTATATGATTGTTTTACATTGCAAATAAATAACCAAATATTCTATTAAATGACAGTTTCTGAATGTGTTTCAGATGTGATGTTTATTTATATAAATTTTCTCTACATATAATAGTTCATGCATATTGATATCATGTATGGAAACCTGTCTGGTTTGCTCCTATTCTTAATGATTTCTTGTGATTTTCTGATTTGACTCATTATATGAAACGTTTTGTTGCTCATCCAAAAATTACAAAATGATATCATATTTAAATGCATCAGATACTGGCAATATTAAGATCTATAGTCTAGAAAGTATAGAGAGGCATTTTGGTATTTAGATGAATATAAACTGATGTAGATGAATATACACACAGATCTATACATTTTCTTAAGAATAATTAAACAATGGCTTTAGAGTCAATTCCTTGCCTTCTATTACATTTTTTCCACCAAAATGCTACTTACACTACTGAGCAGATCACATTTGAAAAGGAACAGAAATACAGGGGACAAGACACCCTGTGGACCAGCAGTGGACACGAGAGCGGGTGAGCTGTTGCCTGGGATGTCTCAGTGCCTGTGGGAGATTCACCTCTAATTATGAGACTTTTATATGTGTGCTGGATTCACTCGGTAGCTGACACTTGCTATCTCATTTTTCATTGAGTCTCGTTTTCTTTTTCAAAATAAGGGGTCTGCCTCAGTTTCTTTACTTCATCGTCAATTGGGAAAGGCTGTAGCCAAAGGAACACATCTTTCTTGAAACTGTAGAAAATTCTTCTTTTTAGATATAAACATTCCAGTTTTTGTTTCCTTCTCATAGCCTGAACCCCATTTGTTTGTTTTAATTTTATTCATTTTAAATGTCTGTTCACATGTTTGCCTTCATCAAAGATAATAAGATGGCTTTTGTAAATTTAACTCTCTATGGTCCATCTCCTTATATGTACTAATCTAAAGGAGCATAAATAATTCCAGGATACAGTTTGGAACTTTACATCTGACTGCATCCACAATGTGTTAACCATGAAAGAAATTCTGTGGTGTTTTCAGATAATGTTTTCTACTGCCAGTGACTACCACATTCACATTAAATTACTCAATTTCAGTGTGCTTTGAACTTTATTGTTATAAATAAGACAACATTTCTTATGTGTTTGCTTGTGTGTGCAATCGTAACTTTTAATAATGCTGTGCATCAGAGGAATTATGTACAAGTTTTCCAAGACTTTAAAATATTATTTTGCTTACATAGCATAAGAAGTTTTAAATTTGTTCATAAATAATACTCTTTTTAGAACTCTGAATGAAGCTTAGAGTAAATGGGCAATTATAATACCAAGTATTTATATTTACATCTACATGCAAAGTCACTTTTCTAAGAAACTTGCTAGTATTGTAATTCTCACAGCAGCACTGGTATTATTATTCCCACTTTACAGATGAGAAAGTCAAGGCAAAGAGGTGAAATTCTTGTCCTCAGTTACACTGCAACCAAGTATAGGAGCTATAAATTAACCTTATGTTGTCCAGTTTCACCACTGTACTCAATGCATGTATTGTTGCTATCAATATTACTCCAATTACTCAGTGTCTGCATGTTATAGATTATTTTATGATAATAGAAGCGACTTTTCTTGAACTCAGTTATGACAGAGAAATATTAAATAAGGAAATAGTTAAATTTTCTGATAACTTGGCCGAAGTTAGAAATTGAATAGAAGTGGATTTTTTTTTTGCTTATGGTATAGATTTTCTTGAAAGAATGGTTGACAGAACTTATTTTGAAATTTTAGAGATCTAGTAATGGTAAATAAAAATTAGACTAAAATATTAGAATTACAGATTTTTTTCTTAAAGCATCACTTTGTAAATTTCAGAATACCTTAACTATAATATACAGCTTTGTTAACAGTGCAAAAGAACAATATGAAAAGCTTTCAAAATTACTTGGAAACACAGAGAAATTGTACCAGAGTGTAATGGAATATTATGCCCTTGATGTGAAGAAGGTATCTGTGGAAGACTTTTTTACTGACTTGAATAACTTCAGAACTACATTCATGGTATGGTAAAAATTTTTATTTTATTTTTTTGAAAAGTGTTTTTTATCTATACTCTCATGTATTTCTTATTTAAAAATAACTTTATTATCAAACGCACACATACAGAAATTAAAACCATTCAAAGAGGAACAGTGAAAGGGAAAAAAAAACTATAATAATATTCAAATACAGTAGAACTCAACCAAAACAAAACTGGAAAGCACTTAAGCATTTTTCATATAACTTAAAAAATCATCTCAAGCACCAGCAAGACACCAAAGGATGTCATTTGTTTCAGAAAGATCCCCCAAACCAACATTGAACAAGTAGTGGTCTGGAAAAAAAACTCCAGTTAGCAGACTCCACATAAGCCAAGGTTCTCCCTAATTTAAATTTCGATACCGTCATACGACACGCGATGGAAATACAATCCGAGAAATATGTTATTAGGCCATTTCATCGGTGTGTAACCTTAATTACACTTTCAGTTTCTCACACTAGAGAAACTATTCGGTATTTACACATGTGTCCTATTTATTTCACTTAAGAGGATGGCCTCAATATGCATCCATTTAGCAATAAATGTCTCTAGTTTCTGGTTCTTTATGGCTGAGTAGTACTTCATTTTATTGAAAAAACCCACATTGTCTTTATCCAATCTTCAGTTGATGGGCACTTGGGTTGTTTCCAAGCTTTAGCTATTACAAACTGTGCCCCTATAAGCATGGGTGCACATTTATCACTGTGTTATGATTCTTTTAATTCTTTTGGGAAGATATCCAGCAGGGGAATAGCTGGGTCAAATGAGACCTCTAAGACTAGTTCTTTGAGATATCTCCATACTGATTTACCCAGTGGTTGCACCAGTCTGCACTCCCACCAACAATGGAGAAGGGTTCCTTTCTCTCCACACCCCTGCCAGCATTTGTTATTGGATGATTTCTTTATAACAGCCATGCTTTCTTGGGTGAGGTGGAATCTCAGTGTTGTTTTCATCTGCATCTCTCAAATAACCAGTGATGTTGAACATTTTTTCATATATTTGTTTGCTGCTTTTACTTCTTTGTCTGAGAAATGTCTGTTCATTTCAAATGCCCATTTTTAAAATGTGTCTTTGAATTTGGGGGGTCTGATTTTTTTCACTTCTTTATATATTTTAGATAGTAGTCCTTTGTCTAAGGTACAGTTGCTGAAATTTTTTTTCTACATTGTAGATTGTCTCTTAGCTCTGTTGGTGGTTTCTCTTGCAGTCCAGAAGCTTTTTAATAAGATGAGATCCCAGTTGTTGATTCTTTGTGTAAGTTCCCATGACACTGAGGTTTTGTTCATAAAGTCTTTTACTATACCAATGTCTTCAAGAGTTCTGCCTAACTTATCTTCCACCAAATTTAGTGTTTCTGTCTTGATATTTAAATCTTTAATCCATTTCAATCTTAGTTTAGTGCATGGTGATAGGTATGGGTCTAGTTTTAATCTTTGGCAGGTTGAAATCCTGTTTTTCCAACACCATTTATTAAATAGACTATCTTTCCTCCAATGAGGGTGGTTGGCTCCTTTGTCAAAGATGAGGTGGCTGAGCATATCTGTAGTTGTTTCTGCATTGTCTAATCTCTTTCACTGATCCTCGGGTCTGTTTCTTTGCTAATACCATGCTGTTTTAATACCATCACAGTAGCTTTGTAGTATAGTGTCAAGTTGGGGATTGTAATACCTCCAGCCATATCTCTGTTGCCTAAAATTTCTTTTGCTATTCCAGGTCTCTTGTGGTTCCAAATCAATTTTGGATTGTTTTTTCTAGTTCTGTGAAATATATTGTTGGAATTTCAATCAGCATTGTATTAAACCTATGTAATAGTTTTGGAAGTATGCCCATTTTCATTATATTAGTTCTTCCTATCCAGGAATAAGGGATGTCTTTCCATTTTCATATATCCTGCTCAATCTCTTTTTTCAGAGTGCTATAGTTTTCAGTGTAGAGGTCTTTTGCTTCCTTTGTTGGATTGACTCTTAGATATTTCATTTTTTTAGATGCTATTGTAAAAGGAATTGTTTCCCTAATTTCTCTCTCAGTGATTCTATTATTTGTATATAAAAAGGCTATTGTTTTTTGAGTGTTGACCTTATATCCAGCTACTCTACTGAATCTGTCAGTTAAGCCTAGAAGTCTTTTGGCAGAGTATTTTGGGTCTTCTACGTAAAGTATCATATCATCAGCAAATAATGACAGTTTAATTTCTTCCTTTCCTATTTTTATTCCTTGTATTTCTCTTTTCTAATTGCTGTGGCTGTTTCGAGAACAATATTAAACAGGGGTGGTGATAGTTCTCATATATTTTTTACTTCATTACTTCATATCACTCTTGTCTCTGTATCTACCTTTTATGATGTTGAAAGTTAACTTTAAAAAATTCAGATTTTAAATCTATTGAAAAATGTGTGGTTTGTTCTCCTTTTGGCCTTTCCAACATTAAGATGTAATCAAAATTTTTGATTGAAAAACTGACAAATTCTGAAGTTTTTCATAAAGACTCCCTCCCGGCTGATTACAGAGCACTTTTGTATTAAGTTTTTGGTTATGAAATTTGTTTCTTTATACTTAGATCAATTTGTATTTTTGTGGTATAATTTTACCAAATTTCATGCGGCTCTTATGAAGCTTTTTTCCTTTTCTTTTCTTAATGCATTGTACAATAAGCTACCTGTGATTTTCTTTTAAATAGATTTTACATTCCTATGGTTTCCTTTAGATACTTTAATAGGGAGGTCAGGCCTTTGATGTGGAATCCTTTCATTTAGGCATTAAAAAGATCTTTTGAGAAGTATTAGCTGATTAGATGAGGGGGAAAAACACACACACACATATTAAATTGAGAAGGCATTTTTGCCTCCCCAGGGAAACTGGTGCTACATTTCCACAAGGAAAAAATTGTTATTTTTAGTGAGTGGGTAAGTCGTTTCTGTATTGTAGCAAATGTTCATGAGGATTAAAAAGTTTTGAGGTATAAAGTAAAAGAAGATTAAATTTAAAGAGCAGGTTCTTCTTAATCTCAGGAAAACCTGACTTTGTTGGACTTGGTTATAATCACTTAGGAATGAATATCCTTTTAATAAAAACCTACCATTTTAAGGCAGTCTCCTATAATAAATACATTTTTTCTATTTCATTTTCTTCACAAAGTCAGTGTTTCTTTAAATTGTTTTTTCATTATCAGATAGGAATTTGTATATTTATGGTATAGCTATACATGTCATGTTCTATACAGTATATTATTTTAAATTTGATAATGTTTTGAAGCACTAAAATTTTCTTGAAGTAGTTCAAAAGTTGGAGGTCTAAGAGCTAGATTTGGACTCCATACTAGTCACTTGGCTATAAACACTTTTTTGGCCTTTCTGAGCCTCCATATATCGGTATCCATATTTTTAAAATGGAAAGGTATTTTCTTCCCTGTAAAAGTGTGTAAATATTGTGAGTTACTGTATTAAAATGTTTATCATGATTTCTGACAAATCAAAAAATTATTATACAGTAAAGCATTAGTTCAGCAGGGGTAGAGTGCTTAATAACTTAGTATTCCAAAAAATGGCCCTACCCAGCTCCTTCAGGACAGTTCTGAACCCTAGGAGGACACTGCCTGATGAGGGTGTCTCTATATACCTAGGATCTTGGGTCAATCTAGATTGATTATGCTCACAGTAAGTTTTATGGTGACCACCTATTTTTCAACACATGGTGCCCTGGTCCGCTCTATGTCAGTTGAGCCTTTTGGGGGACTGGAGACTGAGTAGCTCAGGATCAGCCATGTAGCCAGGCCATTAAAAATCCTTGGCAACAAGGTTTAAATGAGCTTCCTGTGTGCAATACCATACTTCCCTCGTGTGTGATGTCCCCTGTTATTCCTGTGGTAATGAAACACTGTCGGGGCCTGTTGGAAGAGGACAGCTGCCGTTTCGCACCTGGTTTCTCCTGGCCTTTGCCCTGTGCAATTTTTTACTTTATTGATTTTATTCTCTATTGTGTCACTGTAGTAAATCATAACTGTGAGTATAATGGCTTTTCTGAGTTCTGTGCGTCCTTCCGGCCAGTCATCAAACCCAAAGATGGGCTTGGGGACCCCTAACACAATTACAAAGTATAAAATGGATATATGCAGTAATAATACCCTTCACATACTCAGTATTTTTTATTAACCAGGAATTCTTCTAAGTGCCTTACCTTTATCGTTTCAATTATCACAGTATTTCCTTCCTCATGAGAGTTTATAAATAATATGAGTTACTCTGCTAGTGTTTCACTGTTACCATGAAGACGTAGAGACTGAGGTGCCGAGACAGATCATACCCAGTTCAGTGTCATACCACTGTAAAATGATTTAACTAGAATTTGAACCTACATAGTTTTCTACCACGCTATGTCATGCTGCCTCCAGTAATTTGTGTTCCAGTTTACAGATAAGAACACTGGCAATTGGAGAGTTAACCACTGAGACCGAATCAATATTGTTTGCAAGTGATCCACTTGGAATTTGAATCCAGGTGTGATTCCATATTTTCCCCAAATGGAAAAGGATCACATAGGCTTGGGGAATTCTGTGGGTAACTTGGCATTTCTGTTACCAGGCAGTAGGTAGAGGGAGGAAGGATTTGATAGAGAGGAAGGTACAGGTGAGAGGTGGAGTGAGTGCTCTGTTGTGCCCATTCCATGTTTCTTATGTGTTCTAGAAATGGCAGACAACACACGTTCAAGGGAACACTATGCTGTATTAAACTTGCTGGTGCCCAATTTTTAAAAACCCTTCAAATTAAATAATGTGGAAATTAAAAATTTTCTTTAGAATAAAAATAAGCAAAGCCAGCCTTGGTGGTGCACACCTGGGATCCCAGCTACTCAGGAGGCTAAGGTGGAGGGCTGCAAGATCAAAAGCTGACCAGGCACCTGAACAGGATCCTATCAAAATGAAAACTAAATAAGAAGAGTTGGGCATATTGCTCAGTGGTAGTGTGTCCTGTGTTTGACCCCA